GTGGGAAGGGGTCCATGGGGCATGCCTTATTCAGATCCGTGTAGTCCACGCACATACGGAAGGTAGGGGGCTTCTGTGCGAGGACTACGTTTGCCAACCAAGAAGGGTATTTCACCTCCTTAATGTGTTTGATGGAGAGGAGCATAGATACCTCCTTCTTCACGAACTCCCTTCTCTCGGCCGAGAGGGGTCTCCTCCGCTGCTGTACTGGTTTGGCCGTAGGGTCCACCGCCAGGCGGTGGGTGATAACCCTTCGGTCAATTCCTGGCATATCCTCCGGCCCCCATGCAAAAACAATGGAGTAGGCGCGGAGGGCCTTGGTGATGCCAGCCTTCAAGTCTTCGGGGAGCTTGGCTCCAATCTTCAGAACTCTCTCCGGCTTGGCCGGATCGAGTATCAAGTCTTCGGTCTCTTCGGCAGGCTCAGCCCTCGGCCTGCCTTCTTCTTCCTCCAAGGCCTTGGTGGTGATGGTGTCAACACGAAACTCAGTTTTACTAACCTTCTTGGTAAGCTGAAGGTAGCAGGCCCTGGAGAGTTTCTGGTTCCCCCTCGAATAGCCAATGCCGGTGGGTGTAGGGAATTTGAGGCAAAGGTGTTTCATGGAGATGACGGCTTCTAAGTCCTCGAGGGCAGGCCGGCCGAGGATGATGTTGTGCGCGCAGTCGAGGTTGACGACGACGAATTCCACTTCGAGCTTGGCTCTATGGGATCCGTCGCCGAATTCAACTACTAGGGTGATGACGCCTTCGGCGTCTACGCTATCCCCCGTAAATCCGGAGAGGGGGGGTGTTTATGTGCCGAAGGGACCCCCTGTCGAGTCCCAACTCTTGGAAAGTGCTGAGATACATGACATTGACAGAACTCCCCGTGTCGACGTAAGTCCGGTGGATGATGGCGTCATTGATCTCAGTGCGGATGACGAGGGCATCCCTATGCGGTAGAGAACCCGAGGGGAGGTCCGCGTCTGTGAAGAAGATGGGTTCCCCCCTCGGTCTCTTAGTTGGGGGCATGTGATTGACTTCCCCAATGTAAAGGGACTGTGCCCACTTCTTCCTTTGGCTTGTTGAATCGCCTCCGGTGTTGCCGCCGTTGATCATATGAATATGGCGCTTGTATTGTTGATGGGAGCCCTCTCCCTCATCATCGAGGCCCCCAATTTCTCGCTTCTTCCCCTGTGGGTTTCCCAAGGGGATGGTGTTGGGGTTCACCCACTTGTTGGCCTTCGGCGGAGGCCCTTGATGGTGAAGGGGGCCCTGGGGAGGAGGCCCCCTGATAAACTGAGATAAGTGGCCTGCCTGTATCAGCCTCTCAATTGCGTTTTTCAGCTGATGGCAATCGTCGGTTTTGTGTCCGTGGTGGCGGTGGAAGCGGCAATAGGGCTCATCAGGACCGATGGCATAAATCTCGAGGGGTGTACGGGAGTCTCGCTCCACTAGCCCTCGCTCTTCCGCATGATCCAAGATGACGCTGACGGGGTGCGTCAGGGGAGTGCGTGGATGCTCAAGGAGGACGGGTTGCGCCCATGCCTTCGGATTGTTCTTGTAACCGCCCCCGGGTCTGGCTTGGCCACCCCGGGAGCGATCGTTGTACTGCGCCTCTCGGTTGACCGGAGGGGGAGGCCCTCCGGGCCGATTCCTGCCTTCATTCTTCTGGGAAGGATCCGTGTTGCGGCGGTCCTTCTCGATTTCCTCCGCTTCAGCATATCGGTCCCCCCGCTGAAGGGCCTTTGTATAATCGCGGGGGGGATCAGTGATAAGGCTCCGGGAGAAGTTACCGTTGCGGAGGACGGTGTGGAAGAGGGCCATCAGTGTCCTGTCATCAGCGCCTTCGACCTCGAGGGAGGCCTGCCTCCAGCGTTCCAGGAAACTCCGAAGGGTTTCCTCCTTCTGTTGTCTCACGTTCAGAAGGTGGGAGAAGTGCTTCTTTGAGCGATGCCTCCCAGCAAATTGCGTAAGGAAGCGGTGGGCAAGTTCTTGCCAAGAATCAATGCTGCCTTCGGGCAACCGGTTGAACCACTCATACGCGGGTCCCTCCAAGGTGGAAAGGAACCAACGGCATAAGTATTCATCCGAGGCCCCCATCATCGTCATGCTATTTTGATAGCGGCTATAGTGTTCTTGGGGATCCGTCTTCCCCTCATACGGCTTGATAGGTTGCCCCCGATATTTGTGGGGGATTTTGGCCGCCAGCACCCTTGGGGTGAATGGCGTCCTAGTGCGGAGCTGAATGAGGGGCTCGCCGGAGCCTTCGGCGAGCTTACGCTTCATTTCCTCCACTTGCGCCCGGAGGTCAGCGTACTCTGGGTCTGGCCTTGCTGTGGAAGCCGTCGGGGGAGCCTGACGATTCTCCTCAAGTTGACGGAGGAGGGCTTCGATGATTTCGTCCTTAGGATCCTTCGGGGCAACCCCTTGGGAGTTGGCCCGGAAGGATTGCGCCTGATTGATCTGGTGCCTGGCGTCATCAGCATGGAGGAGGGCTTTGCCTTTGCTTCGGGGGGGAGGCACGCCCTCGGCACCCGAAGCGGAGGCACCACTCTCCTGGGGCCTGCTGAGTTCTTGCTTGCCGAGGCGGTCTTGGACCCCTCGGCGTCCGGGAGCTCCCCCAAGCCTCTCAAGTGCAGAGGTCCGGGGTTTCTCCTTCATCATGGGGCGCTTGTCCCTGGATTGAGCCTCCTGGGAGGCGGTATCCTGCGCTATGACCCCCTCGTGGTTGCCAACCCCCGGGGGAGGGTTGTTGAACAAAGGAGGGAGTGGTGGTAGGTTGATAACATTCCCTCCAGCATAGGGCGGAAGAGGTGCCTGGGAGACGAGGGCTCCGGAGTTGAGAGCCATGTTTTGAACAAAGGCCGCAAAGGCTGCCTGAAGATCGATGGCCGGGGCCGGAGGGGGAACTTGGTTCTCACTCCGATCCCTCCTTCGATTATCAAGGCCAATGCGGGCATCAGGGGCGCTCTTCTGTAGTTGCTGACGGAGGTCAGCAGTAGCCTGCTCCAATTCGAGGATGATACCACCCTCGGGCACTAAGAGCCTGTTGGAGGCCTCAGCCCCGTTGGTTTCCCCGGGGGCTACGTGGTTCTCCTCTAGGGTTTTGGATTGGGCACGAGTGGTTCTTCCCATTTTTTTGGTAAGTGTTTTGTATCTGGTAGAGGGGGAGGTTTTCTCACTTGATAGTTCCGACCTCTCAACGAGAGCACCAAATGATGGATAGTCTACCCGGGGGTATCTTATCCGAGGGGTTATTGCGGGAATAACTTAGAGAGAAGTCAAAGTAAAATAGGAGGAGAGAGAGTCGATTTATTAAATGAACTCTGCGTGTGGAGTTGAGACGTAGATCATGTTTTACAAGGAGAAATGGGCTGCTATTTATAGCAGCAATAAATGCGATGAGAGTACACGTGTCAGTGATCCAACGGCCGAAGGGTCACATCAGCCCGGTGGCACCGGCAGTGGTACGTCAACCGCATTGAATGCGGTTGGCGGATGTGACGTGGTATTAAATGCGGTGGTTGGTTGTCTCCAAAAGGAATCTTTGATGATTGAGCTAGTTCAGCCGAAGGCTCCTTGTGTAGCCGAGGGCTCCTTGTGTAGCCGAGGGCTCCTCGTGTAGCCGAGGGCTTTTCTGATGCCGAGGGCATGAAAATGCCGAAGGCTTATGTTTTCGCCCGTTTTCTCCCAGCAGCTTCTTATGCCAAAGAAGCTATCCTGTGAGTTCTGGAGCCTTCAGCCAAGGAGGCCGAAGGCACCGTAGTATGTATTTTGGGCTGCTTTGAGGCTTGGGCCGTTGTATTTGGGCCTGAGTCGTTTCCTGAGCTCAATGGACTTGTGTAGGAGAAGTAGGAGTCTATGGGCCGGGGGCTCCCGGGCCATATACTCCATCACACCCCTAGAACTAGACTAGAATATGACGTCGAGTGCCCTGTGACCAAGCCCTAGGTCACTAGAGATGTCAAGGGCGATGATCGGTTTGGGCCCGAGCTGATCGCGCTGATTAAGTTGACCCACAAGTTAGGATGATTGAGTGGGAATGAATGAGATGGTTAGGCTCACCTCAGAAAACTGGCCATTTTGACATTCCTTATGACCACACCTTGGTGACCACTACTTTTAGGCTAGAAGCCTAAAGGGTTATAAAACCCATCGATAGAGATTTCTAAAAAAAAAAAAAGATACACCACATCCTTGAGGGCCTCCAGCACCGGTCGGACAGTTAGTTGGGAGGATGTAAGTTGAACTTTAATCACAAGTTGACAAATAGAAAGTGGGGCTCTTACCCTTGTACTTGCAGAGGCCCTATGAATTTTTAGTATAATAACCTCTCATCGCATATGTTGGGATTCGAATCCAAAACTTACCCCTTGTGGCACCCCTATCTACAAGTTGAGCTACGCCCACTGACACAGATAGAATTTTTTAGAGAGAGGATAGAGGAAAAGTAAAGTGAGAAAGTTGTTCATAATTAGTTTATCAACTAATTATGCATCCTTACACTTGAATTACATTGTCCTTAATAGCTTGGAGAATGTAATAGAACATGGACTAATTAAGTTTTCAATAGTGAAATGAGGTGTTGATGACATCTGGACCCACCTATAACAGAAGTGCCATATACAAGTCATTGTGTGCGAATCCCGAGTCAATGTGTAATCAAATACAGAGTATTAGGCTAAATTTAATCAAATTTAGCTAATACAAGTCATTGTAAATTTAGCAAATAATGTCTCCGGAATGTGTAAAATTGTAAATAATACAATTTTAGGCGAATCCCGAGACATTATTTTAGACTAATACAATTACAGAGTACAATGACATTATTAGTCCTAGATTTCGCTTATTCCCGTTGGACTTGAAAGGTGAGGGAGCTATTTTTGATCGGTGTAAATGTGTAATCAAATACAGAGTATTAGGCTAAATTTATTTATTCTAAAATAATGTCTCCGGAATGTAATTTCAGTAGCATAAGACCAAGTAATTGGTACGTAGTAGTTCCCAAAATTGTTGACCAGGTAAGAGCACACGGATTGCCTTCATTCATAAATCTCCGTTCTTGCTACTTGCGAGTCAACACCTTCCAATTAATCATTGGTGAGCGCTCCTTCTGATCTTCTGCAGAAATGAAATTAACCCTTCACTGGGAAGGAAAATTTCAGCTCCAATTATGTATCATCCTCTTCCTCACCACGTCCCCTGTATCTTCTTCTTCTTCATCCTGCTCGACGTGGCTGCCTCCCAACCCCTCGGAAACTACTGCCCAAATAGCACCACCACCTATACTACAAACAGCACTTTTCATTCCAACCTCATGGCCCTCCTCTCCGCCCTCGCATCAAATGCCACCCGCCCAAACGGTTTCTACAACTCCACCGTCGGCAGCCGCAACTCCACCGCGTACGGCCTCTTCATGTGCCGCGGCGACGTCTCAACGTCCGGCTGCGCGACGTGCGTGAGTGATGCCGGCACGAATATACTGAAGCTGTGCCCCAATAAAAGGACCGCCGACATTTGGTACGACAATTGTATGTTGCGTTACTCGGATGTGTCTATGTTCGGAAGAGCTGACCAGTCGATAGTGCTGAATTTGTACAATACCCAGAATGATACGCAACCGGCGAGGTTTATGCAGGCGGTCGGTAACACGATGGGTCAGATGGCAGCTGCGGCGGCCGCCGGGGACAGATCCGGCAGGAAATTCGCGACCCTGGAAGCTAATTTTTCGGCGTTTGAGAAGATCTATAGTCTGGGGCAGTGCACGCCGGATCTCTCCGTGATGGATTGCCAGAGCTGTTTGGGGAGTGCAATCCAACGGCTGCCAGGGTGTTGCTATTCGGCACTGGGTGCTAGAACGATCTACCCAAGCTGTAATGTTAGATATGAGACATACCCTTTCTATAATAGCACCGCCGCCTCTCCTCCACCGCCGCCTCCGTCTCCTACCCGCCGTCCTCCCTCCAGTCAGCCTCCCGTTTCTGCCCCCAGTGAAGGTAAACTTTTCAATTTTCTACGTTTAGACCGGCACGTATTAAAATCTAAAATCAACAGTAAATTTAAAAAAAATTAGAACTGGCGAAGTCGAAAAGTCGCAGGGGGTGTTTGGTTAGGAGGCTGCCAGCCAATTTTTGGCTGATTTGACCATTTTTTAGTTTTTTGAGTCGATAATTTGCTAATTCAGGTGTTTGGTTAATTGGTTTTTTTACTTGGCTTTTTGCATCAAACAGCTAAAATTTAAAAAGCCAATGAACATGGCGTTTTGGACTTATTTATAGTGAATTCTGATTGTGCCCGCATTACCTCCTTTTGTTCCTGTTCGTCACTTCGTTTTCCATTTTGGCCGCATGCTTATTTCTAATTCCTATGGTAAGAATATCACCGTTAGAGACAAGGCCTCAAATAATGTACAACTATGGGGCATGGGCCCCATTTATCATGACTACATGATTAAATAAATTATAAATAAATAAATAAATAAATACGAAGTATATAATATTATTATAATATAAACTTGAACCATGCCTTTAATGTTTGGACGTGTTTTGCAAAACCATGTGTTAAAAAAATTTATTTTTATTAAATAAAAACGGTTTTAGTAGTTGTATTTGTAATATTACCAAAATGTGTTAAACACATACGTAGTATAAAAGTAGTTAGTAAACAAAATAAATTAATTGATGTCCTTAACAGTAAATTAACAATTTATCAGCCGATTGTAAACAGCTGTATAACCAAACACTGTTTTATAAACAACTAATATTATCCGCTAATCAAAACAGTCAACAGAATCCGCTGATACCAATCAGCCAACAGAATCGACCAATAGCCAACGGCCAATTGCAAAACATCCCCATAACTTAAAAAGTTACCGGTACGGAGTATTTGGTTTGTGTAGGGAGCGTTTGGAATGCTGAAAGAATAATACAAAGAATAATTCGGAGGAAAAAGAAATAAATGCTTACGAATTACGATAACACAACGTAATAAAATACAAGTAATAGTTTAAAGTTTAAACTCAATAAATTTACTTTAATACTCATTCATGTTCATATTTATTTACTCCCTATAAAACATTGTTTGAGACTCAATAAGTTTATTTTTTTATATTTTTGAATTCATTTTGATTTATTTATATCACGTTTTTTATTCGTTTGAAATTTTCTTGTTCGGTAATGTTTAAATCCGGTATGGTTGGTCTAAAGTCTAAACGAGTCTGGTTTGAACTTGTGTTAATTGTGTGATCTAATAGATATCTACTTGTGTTAATTTTCTTGTTCGGTAATGTCTAAGAGAGTGTTGTGACTGCTTCTATATTAAAAAAGTGATTTTTTGAAGTGATTTTGGAGAAAATGTTTAATAGTAAAAGTAGTTGTGTCTTTCCAAAGAAAAAATAAAGAGAAAAGAGGTAAATAAGGTCATGTACTAACCAAAAAAGGTCAAATAAGGCCTTATTTAAGAGGTTTTGTCTGGCCATCGCCATTTGAGGTGGTTCCCGGTGTAAATAACTGCACATTTAAAAGCCCAGTTATCTTCAAGAATTCATTTGAATGACTTCCCGATTGAATTGTTAGCTGAAATTTGGTATGAGTAAACTAGACTTAATGAATTAGATGCACAAAAAATTTCATCAAAAAATTCCATCGGGAACCACCCCAAATGGCGACGACTGGACATAGCCTCCTAAATAAGGCCTTATTTGACCTTTTTGGTTAGTACGTGGCCTTATTTGCCTCTTTTCCCAAAAATAAAAGTAAGTCGTGTTTGAGAAAAAAGTGCTTTTGAAAAAGTAAAAGTTGATAGTGTTTAGTGAAATATGTGTTTATTGTATAATAGAAAAAGTAAAAAGCAGTTTAAAACACCTCCCCACAAACTTCCAGTTTTTAGTTTTTAATGCTTAGTTTAAGTAGAAGTTGTCACATGAAAGTACTCATTTTAGCTTTTTTAAGCCAAAAGCTAGCACTCACTTTTTAAATGTTTGCAAACACTGCTTAAATCTAGTCAGGGTTGGTCTTAGATTGAAACGAGCCTAATTAAAACATCTTAAGGGAATTTTTAAAATACAGTGAAAAATATACGGAGTACAACTGATGGTATTTTCTGTTTGACTTTGCTTTCTGGTTCAATTACTTTAAGCATACTTAGCAGATAAGTCCCAAACTATACCATATTAATATAGTATCCTTTTCGTTTTTTTAGGTAATAGTATTAGTATCCTTTCAGTTAAAAATGGAAATTTTCAATGTGGTGTGTTTCAATGTATGCAGGAAGGAAGAAACATTCTTCTTCAAAAGTGATTATTATTGCTATTGTAGTTCCGGTTGTTGGGATTATACTCTTCATTGCAATCTTGTGCTGTGTAAGAACTAGATATGTCAAGAAAGAATTAACAGCACACCTTACAGGTTCTTTCCATAATTATTAGGTTTTATGTTTCTCTCCTTTGTTTATAGTAACTTACCCTATTTTCCACATTTTTTAAATTTTTCTTCATTTTCTTTTTCTTTCTAAATGTTTTTTTAGATGTGTCTGGGATTTCAAGTGATGAGTCCTTGCAATATAATTTTGTTACTATTCAAGCAATTACAAACGGTTTTGCCCCTGAAAGTAAAATTGGCGAAGGTGGATATGGTTCAGTATACAAGGTAATAAAGCTCAGCTGGATCAATTTGTTTGCTTCAGTCCATTCTATAATGGCTTATTGATTCTCAGACAAATACATTCAGGGAAAGCTTCCTGGTGGACCAGATGTAGCTGTAAAAAGGCTTTCAAGAACATCAGGCCAAGGGGCCCAAGAGTTCAAGAATGAGGTTGAAGTAGTAGCACAGCTTCAACATAGAAATTTAGTAAGGCTGCTCGGCTATTGCTCAGAAGGAGAAGAAAAGATACTAATCTATGAATTTGTGCCCAACAAGAGTCTTGACTACTTTTTATTTGGTTAGTTCCAAACACAAAAAGTCATATATCTCTCTTCACCTCTTATCAATGTTCATTGTCCGAAATTCCAGGTCCTGTTTGGTATCTATGAGTTTAATTCGCAGCCACTTGGTAACCACTTTTTCTGGCTTATCTGCCTTATCCTAAGTCTTAGCAAAAACAAGTATATGCCCCCCCCCCCCACTTTTTCCCCAACCAAATGTGAGGTTTTTGAATTTGCTGAAAAAGATCACTTTTTTATTGTATTTTCTCGCATGTTATAGTATTTGTTCCCAGGGTTCATGTTATAGCTTTCTAATATTGTTTCTTTTATTTAATATACTTTGCTAATTAACCTTGAAAGTACATGCATTTGGGCACAAAATAATGCAGATGATGAAAAGAGGCACTTATTGGATTGGTCAAGGCGTTACAAAATCATAGAAGGGATAGCACGAGGACTGGTATACCTTCACGAAGATTCCCGCCTTAGAATTATACATCGTGACCTCAAAGCAGGCAACGTGCTGCTCGATGAAAATATGAACTCGAAAATCGCAGATTTTGGAATGGCCAAAATTTTTGGAGTCGATCAAACCCAAGGAAATACAAACAGAGTTGTTGGAACATAGTAAGTATGAACCTACAGTTAAATAAGCCTTCATGTCGTAACTCTAATTTGGAATACCTCATATGTTCATGTATATATATACTAAGCTAAGATTTTGCATATGGGTTGCAGTGGCTACATGTCTCCCGAGTATGCAATGCATGGGCAATTCTCAGTCAAGTCTGATGTTTATAGTTTTGGTGTTCTTGTTTTGGAGATCATAACTGGGAAAAAGAGTTCCAACTTCACTGAAACAAGTGAAGCCCATGATCTTCTTAGCTATGTGAGTAATAGTTTGTGTGGTAGAGCTTATAAGTTATCATAAGTTCCAACTAAGCTATCCGCTCAGTTTGGGAAAATATACCACTTTTGGTCCTACGCTGTTTGGCCATTTCTAATTTTGGTTCTCAACTTTCATTTATCCACTTCACGTCCCACGACTATAGATCCTTTGTTAGTTATTGCCCTTCCGGCTACTTTTCGTGTCAATAACTGTACAATCTCCTGTTGATTTTCATTGGAAAGTGGCATCTATAGTTGTGGGACCAAATGTTGAAAAACAAAAGTTTTGACCCGAAGTGGGAATGATTTGATAGTCATGAGATAAAATATAATGTTTTCTCTTCTAGCAAATGAAATAAAAGCTTAACGAAGCTCTTATTTGAAAAGGAATGTCCTATATATAGTTTTTCAGAAGTATAAGCACCTAGCTCTTCATTTGTTTCTACTTTCTTCTAATAACCTTTCTATTTTTCAAAAATAATAAGCTTTTTTCAATTTCATGAAATGTCCTTTATGTATCCTGTAGGCATGGAAATATTGGAGGGATGGGAGGCCATTAGAGATATTGGATCCTATACTTGGAGATACCTACTCAAGAAATGAAGTCATCCAATGCATCCATTTGGGCTTGTTGTGTGTTCAAGAAGATATTGACGAGAGGCCTACGATGGCCAATATCATTCTCATGCTCAGTAGTTATTCTGTCACCCGGCCTGTCCCACATCAACCGGCTTTCTTTTACAGTGGAAGATCAGAGATGATGCAGAAAGGGGGGTTCATGTTGTCGGATCAGTACACAAGTGATTCCATTCCCTTGTCTGTAAATGAAGTGTCCATTACTGAGCTTTATCCAAGATAATATTAAAAGGATATACAAGTAAAGTTTATGAAAATTGGGAAATAAAATAGCTGAGGAATTATTGAAACCTCATTCAATTCACTGTTTATAAATGTAAGTGCGGGACAAGGAACGATGCATACACTTAAAGTACCATACTAGTTGCTCCACCCGTGCGTTGCACGGGAGTGAAGTGTCTACATAACTACAAAAAACTGAATAACGGCCCATTTACAAATTTATAAAAAAGATTAAATAAAACCCTAAATAAGTTTATCAATGTAATAACACAATACGAAAAAATGTAAAAATTAAATGTTAATCATCATATGATGAAATAGGTGTGCATATATGTCCATGAAATTTTTAATGGAAAATCTGAATTTGGGGGCGTTACACCCACATTTACAACAACCCAGTTAGTTGAGGGTGACATTTAAAAACTCAAAAAAGACGAAGATTGTATTTCAAAGTGGATACTATTTGATGGACTGAAAATGCGATTTCCCCATGTTTTTAATTGGGTTATTATTTTGTGATCTGGTCTGTTTTGATTTAATCTGTTTAAGCCTAGTCTCATTTGTACTTATTTCCACTGCTTATTCTAGTAGATCAATTGATTGAAATAAAGAGTCATCAAGATAAAATTCGATGAAGCATACAGTTAATAGAGTATAAGCTGTATGGAGTATCAATTGCAGTGGAAAAATAATTTGAAAATAAAACAAAACTAAAAATCAATGTTTGCATAGCCCCTGCTCTAGATCACCCATGACTTTAGTCAGTATTATCAACTTTTTCTGCAACAACATTCAAGTAAAGATAGATTGGATCAAAACTGAGGACGTAGCTCACCTGAAAGGAAGAGGTGCCACAAGGGAGAGGACCCGGATTCAACTCAAAACAATGACTTGGGATGAAACCTCACTCTCTTTCTATTAGAGCGAGATCAAAACTCAATTGACATCCTACCATAACTGTCCGGTCAGTTCTGGGGTCCTCGGGGATGAGGTGTCATCCTTTTTTAGATTGAATGAAATAAATAGCTTAAATCCAACTAAAGACGGAAGGTTTAAAGAGGAGTCTGGAAATTAGAGCAATATGGTAAAACAGCTGAGACACTCAAACTATTCACTATGGTTTGCAGATAAAATAGCTGAGGTGCCCATTGATGTAAGAGAACTTTGAGATTTTGGAGCATAAATAGAACTCTCAAGCCTCAAAAGAACTTCAAAAAATAAGTGGTCAAATTCTTTCCTATTTTGACAATGTTGTTGGGGTTTACTATCGGCTTTAGTGTTCAAGTTGTTTATTGCAATATAACAAAATATATAATACTTATTAGCATATATTTCAAGCTTTGAAATGTAATATATTCATCCCAACCTGAAAGAAATATATCAACATTTTCGGGGTAAAGTTGGACTTCACTTTGTCAATGGAACATACGTAGTATTAGTAGAAATATTTCAAGATGTTGAAATGTATGATATTCAACCTGACGTATGATATTGACAGAATATGATACCATATGCAAATAACATATAAAGTATTAGTTGAAATGGTAGAAAATCCTTAACTAACTTAGAGATCATCTTTGGTGTTTTGCAGGAAGCTAGACATGGCCAAGATTTGAAAAATTCAGTGGAAAATATAAACCAATGCACACGAGACCATGTAAAATAAAGCAAAACAGGGTATAAGAGCAACTTTAATGGGAACGTGGATTACAACTCATTAAAAATGGACACGTCACTTTAGTAGACAACCTATGAAGCTGATGTGGATACATAGACATTTATAATAATATTTCTGCTCCAATGCAAACGTGGGTTAAAAAAAATAATTTACTTTTCATACGTAATACCACTAATGAATAGCTGCAGGTTACCCGTTAATATTACTTTTCTTCTACCGATCTTCTTCAAAAGCATAACCTGAAAGTGCACATGCAAGAAAAATTATTGATATCTAGCCATTAAAAGAGGCCACTAAAAGAAAGAATCTCAAGCCATACTATGATTATATATGACCGGTAAAAAAACAATCAATCATCATTTACCCCAGTGCCGCAAAGGCTTCCCACCTATGGTGGGATAGGGGGGGTCCGATGTACGCAGTCTTACCTCTGTGCTAAAGCACAGGGAGACTGTTTCCAGATGACCCATAATGAAAATAGCGTCCAAAATTGCATGGGCTGACTGAAGCTTCATAACAAAGAAGAGCAGACAGTTTGGTGAGCCATTTTGCTTTATTCCATCATATTCTCAAGCCAAAAAATAATGAATCTTTGGCTCCATTGCAAATGATGAGAAAAAATTAGAAGCAAAGAGAATAGAAATATAGTCAATAATACGGAGTAGATAAATTCAGAAGCAATTCTTCAATTACAGCAGGAAACGAAAAATCAATCGTAAAACTAATTACAGAAAAGATGAAATTGAAATCAATACTTTGAGGAAGGTTTATCAAAATTGAACTTCTGAAAATGAAGTTTTTAATTACACGAGTAGATATAATCGGAATTACATGTGTAGCTCCTTCATATAGTTTATCCATTTAATTTAGCATCAAATTGCAATACATAGTAGTTGATTCAGCGGAGATATTTTATTCATTCTTCGAAGAAGTGCAATTTTGAGATCGGCAAATATATTTTGGATTACAGCCTCTGATTACCCCAAAAGGTGTTGATAAAAAAAGGAAAATTATACTCCGTATTTGCTGAGTCACGCTGTCCATCAGACTTGCTGAAATCAGACAGAGCATGAGACGGTGTGGATTCTTTGCGTGTCCAACTCAGCATCGCGAGAAAAATAGAGAGTTCCGTTGGAGGTCAAATTTTTATCCTAATGTATATTTTAACTACGTGGCAATGCATTTTTAGCTAATTGACATTGCCACTAAAGATGCTCTAAGGTTCTCGAGATAAATCTTCCTGCATTACAGTAGTAACCATTCAACTACCTCTAAGAATACATAAATAGGACCATGTAAAGTAGCATGTAGAAATAAAGCTACAAATCTAAAAATCATTTAACTACATATCAAGTAGAATATTCAACTTTTTTAAAGAAGCATATAAAAATGAGGAACTTTAGTGACATGATTAAAATACAAAAAGCGTAATCGAAGTAAACATTAAGTAGATAAATAGCTTACAATTATACTGAGATAAGAAAAAAGGTCATGCCTCTAGCCTTTGCTTCTTCGAAATGCTCCCTTGCAACCCTGAGCTATTAGCTATAGACATAAGTTCACCATCAACTTTTCGAAATTAAAGATATGAAAAATAAGCAACAAAAAATAATTATAAGGAAATCACCACTAATGTTTCTGATTTAAGGAAATCACCACTATACGGAAATCACCACTAAAGATATGAAAAATAAGCAACTTTTTTAAGTTGGTTTGGTTTTAACTTTTAGAACTGCGTATCAATAAAAGAAATGCAAATACGAAATAATGACAAACATATGACTAAATTGGCTTTTTAATGTGATCAATACAATTTATAATACAATCTAATAAGAATGTATTATAAATATATTATATATATATATGTATGTATGTATGTATGTAAATTTTATGTAGACAATATAATTTTCACTACATCTTAGAACCATATTGATTGATAAAACATCTTAGCTGAATAATGATTGCTTTATTTGATCATCATTCTTATCAAACTGAATGATATTCATATTTCAAGCTTTGAAACAAACAAAAAGTCATTAACATATGCATATAGGTGTCAACAATGGTTCACAACTTCACATGGAAATCACACAAAGAGAGACTAAAAAACTACTAACTCCGTCCCACTAACAATGGGACATGAGTTGGGGTACCATTGGAATTTCTGAGATGTCTGATCAATTTGTAACATAGCAAATTGGGTTATGCCGACTTTAGTTACATAAGGAATACCCAAATTGGTTTCCTATATTTCAAAGATGTATCACTTTAAAACAAATAAAATAAAGGAATCCAAGATAACTATCATAGAGCATGTTAAATAAAATTGAAACAAAAGTTACTCTGAAAAAAATTCCAAATCCAATCTATGAGGAAAAAATCATAGAGTAATCAACCAAAGATTAAAGAATTGAAAACATATTAAATCAACACTGAAAGGGGTATGAATTGACCTGAACGTGTTTAGCACTGGCATAAGGAGAGTCTCCGGCTGGACTTCGTGAGTTTGATTAAAAACATTAAGCATAGGGTTACCTCATTGATAAATATCATTTCGTAAAGGGAATCATATACGATAGTATTAGTTAAGCCTCACCTTTCTAAGGCTATTGAGTGTGCTGCTAGCTTCTGTGTTCGACTCCATTGTCTTTGAGGATCAATAGCATCCCTGATTGTTGAAGAAATGGAAGACAACGAACTGTCTTAACATTATTAGAAGCAAATATCTATAAGACTAAACAACATATTTTAAGTGCCAAGAAAAAGTATTCACATTTTTTATCCAATCACACATATAATTCTGAGCTTGCTATAAGAAAACTTTCAGAAAAGAACATGAAAAGTGGCCAGATATATGAAATAATATGATATAACTATAAAAAAAAATACATTAGAGTCCAAACTAAACTCTTGTTATCATTCAATACAGGTCTAATGTAAACTATACTACAGGAAAATGTAATTCAGTTATAATGAGCATTAGAACTCAACATAAAAGTGGTTTTCCGACAAATTACTCCATTCCAAAAAAAATGACAAACCGAATAGATAAATTAATTACTGATTAAGTAGACAAAACCTCTACTCGTTCTTCCCAGCATATAAGACTAATTGTAGGAAAAGATACTTGATTGAGGAATTTTAACAAACACCTTCTTTTCCCAAAAAAATATAATAACTTTCTAAGTGATATAAACCTGGCAAATCGGATATCATTTAAGATAAAAGATGGATATATGATTTAGAAGAATAGTTTACCTCCAACTCAGATTAAGGTATAATCGGCTAGACTCCTGATAGATTTCGGCAGATAGATATATTCCTTTTTTAGAAATTTGATGTTGTTGAGGAAACCAACAATCTTGAGGAACTCCGATTTGAAGAAAGAAGGTATGAGAAGAAGCCGAAGCAAAAGATAGGTGGAGAAGAGTTGCAGTGACAGAAGGAACCCGAAGAGGAACGATTCTGAAAAGAAAAGAGCGAATGGAAAAGATTGGTGATGTTTTAAAATGAAGGATTAAGATCATTTTTAGATGAACGGTTCTGATGGATTTGTATTGCTATTAAGTATAAGGATTTACAGAATTAGGCAAATTTTGGATACTACTGAAGTAGTTTCTGTGTCTGGTTTGCCCCGAGTGCAAATCCTAATATTGTTTTATGCTATTTCTATTGACACATTTTAGGTGTGTTAGGACTTCTGATATTGTCCCGACAGTCCTCTATGTTCAGTCTGAATGAACGATCATACTCAAGGGAGGATGCCCCGGTTACATTCCTTTGGGGAGACAACACCGAAAGGATGAAGAATTAGAGCAGCATTTAGAATATTGGACACAAGGGAGAAGAGCAAATGAACCAGCTCAGCACACGAGGCCAGGGGCCTGATGACCAAGCCTGAACAACCCATTGTAGATGCTAAGGGCGTCGAACGGCTAGTGCCTGAGCTGACTATACCAGGATTAAGGGTCATCATTCAAAGGTCCACCCCCAAGTTTAGATGACTGGGCAGGGACATATTGGATGGTTGGGCTCGCCCCCAGATGCCATTTTGGGCTCGTGCCGGGACCTTACCTTTGTGTCCCGAATTGTTAACCATATTTAAAATTAGTACTCTTTCCGCTCTGCTCAGGTTATATGTTATAAAGTTCATTCTCTATGAAAAGATAAATTAGATTGAACTGTTGATACTTGCAGCTTATGTATTTAGAATTAAAAGTAATAGTTCGATTGAATCACAAAACCTAAATTTCATGTAAGAACAAAATTAGACTTAAAGTTAAATAGCAAATAAAAATTATATTAACTACATGAATATTAAGTTAGCCTTGGAAGGTAAAGTTATTTAGAGATATGAGGTTATGAATTGAAAAAAGCTTATAGAAAGTATAAAAGAGATCTTGGTTATGATTGGTTATATGGACTTTCTACATCGTGAGTTATAGTTCCAAGTAAATAATTTCAGTTCAACTATTCCTTCTACATGTTTTATTTGGAATTCTATTGTATAGGATTGCCTTTAGCGATTTTACTACAACATAATTTCTCAATATGATTAAGCATTGTACTAAATCAATTGGATTCAAAATTAATTTGACAGATTGCGTTAATCTCTACTCAATATCTGCTTGAATTAGCATTGTATATATACATTCTACAAGAGAAATCATCATGTCAGGCCGGCCTGGCCGGGAAAGCCGTCCGGCCGAGACCTTTTGGCGACCTTCCTGGTGGAATTTTTTGATGAAATTTTTTGAGCATGTTCCTCATCAAGTCTAGTTTATCCATACCAAATTTTAACTCAAAATTCGATCGGGAAGGCATTCAAATCTTTTTTTGAAGTTGACTGCGTTTTTATATGTATATTTTGACGCAGTCAACTTCAAAAAATGATTTGAGTGTCTTCCCGATTGAATTTTTAGCTGACATTTGGTATGGATAAACTAGACTTGATGAAAAACATTCTCAAAAAATTTCATCAAAAAATTCCACCGCGAAGATTCTCAAACGGGCTCGGCCAGACGGATGTTCCCGTCAGGCCGGCCTGACAAGAAGAGTTCTCATAACATTCTAGAAAATAAATTAAGTTAGATTTGTAGGTATCTAATTTCCACAATATTGAAATTTATTGAATTTCTTTGCCACTAGTAGTGTAGTACTATCATGGGTTGTACTAAAGTTGTTCTCTTCGTCTTAATTTTATTACTTATTCTTTATTCTTATTTTATTCAGATCAGATCAGAAAGATTCAGATCAGATCAAATCAGAAGCATTTCAGATCAGATCAGAAACATTCAGATCAGATCAGAAACATTCAGATCAGATCAGAAAAATTCAAACATGATTTATCACTCCGTTATCAGGATCCTATCCAGCTTTTCTTCAACCCAATTCGGCAAACCCCTCCATCGTTCCCACATAAACTGATATCCATGAAAAGCAAAATTCTGTAGACCGCACTCCCAGACTGTCTCCATGAAAATACTTTTTTTAATCCATGGACTTATAAAAAAATTATTGGACTTTTAAATCCATAGATTTTTTTATGAATGAATTCTATTGACGTTTAAATCCATGGATAACTTTATAGACTTTCAAAAAGTCAATAGACTTTTCAATTCGGATCGCCCCTGCCGGTCATCGGAATTTTCACATAGATCGCCGCTACCGATCTGCCTGTCTGCCCCCGTCACCAGAGTTCACTGTCTTAGTCATTGGACTGAGCCGCCACCAACAAAATGACTTTGGCTATGCAAGGGAAGCAGGGGCACACAATTAATTATATTAATCAATTAAATTAGGGGTAAAAATGTAACATTTAGTCCTAATCAAGGAAAATCAAACGTATGATCATACTTTGAGAAAAATGCTATGTTTTAGTCCTACTGTGAGTAGGGTTGTATACGAACCGAATCGAGTCGAATAGCAGGATTTTGTATTTGTATTTGATTAATTTTTTCGAATACGAATTCGAATTCAAATATGAAACGAATATTAATTTCGATTTGTATTTGTATTTGTTTAAAAATACGAATAGTTAACGAATCTTATACGAATATCGAATAGATTTGAGCATAGGTTAAATATTAGTCAAACATCACTTTAAAATAAATTTTCTTATATTTTTTTACTACCTCCATCCCTTTTATATTGGGACGGAAAAAGGTGACACGATTTTTAAGAAAAATGAATTTGTGTGGTTGATATTAATTGATAAAGTAAGAATAAAGTAAAAACGATTTTGAGCCACACAAACTTTACCAAATATGGTATGGGACAATATTAGTGGGACTTTCCGAAAAGGTAAAACGGGACAATACAAAGGGGACGGAGGGAGTATGTTGTAAATGTACACTATGTCTTGATATGTGTTTTTAGAATTTAAATTGTGCATGATATACTAAAGTGAATCAATTTTATGATTAACAAATATAAATCTATTTCAAACTTTTAGAAATAAACACAACACACATATTAGAAATTATACTTACAATGTGTGAAATAAGTTGATAATTGTATATATCAAAGTCAGACGTCTCTAATTTTATTCTTCGAATCGAATACATAATTATTTGTATTGTATTTGAAAGACATTTGAACCAAAAATCTGATTTGTATTTGTATTTATACTTTGATTTATTACAAATGGACTTAGGATTTGTATGCATAAATGTATATATGAACTACACTTTAGGGTATTGTTATCTTTAAAAAGTTATTATAGTGTTATTACTATTATTATTAATATTATTATTAATATTAATATTAACATTATCACTATTATTAATCGAATATATTTGATTAATATTCGAATCGAATACACTGATATTCTTATTTGAATTTGATAACAACTCGAATCAAATTTAATATTCATATATGTATTTGTATTTGAATTTTTCGAATTCGGATCATCTTATACGAATTCGAATCGCGAATCGAGCACAAATTATTTGATTCGTTTACAACCCTAACTGTGAGTAATTTCTTCTGTATAATATTATCAGAAACAATTAAATAAATAAATAAAACAAATGTAATTCATCTAGTAGCGCAGAGTTCTACAAGAATAAATGAAGCATAAGAATCCAAAGTTGTTTTTATTAAAAAAAACTCAAAGTTTCGAGAATGCTCAACAATCTCGGTCGATCTCTCTTTATGATCAATTGTTATATTATACAACTCAATGAGTAAGAGCATTAATCGTTACACAAGCCTTACACTCATTGCTACATGTGATACAAGCATAGGTGCAACCGGGCTATACTTAAATATGGTTATATATTTATTATGTAGTAATTCAAAATTATATTTTTATGTGTTAGCGGTTTAACGATGAAACACAATAATAATTAAAATGTGTTTTTCTCAATGGTTAACCGGATGTACCAGAATCGCACTAGTGTAATACTATTGATTCCTGCATCAGTTCTTCTATAAACTTCTAGAACCGAATCGATATGGAATTAACGGTTCTTAAAATGGTTCCTAATTTTCTTTCAAAAACTGAACCGATCTCACCCATACATTAGGAGGACATATATAAATATCACTTTTTAATTTTTGGGAAAATGGAAACTAATAATCCAACATTTTAGCGGTCTTCTTACAATAGTCTCACCTTTTGATTATTCATGAATAATCCAACCTTTGCACCTCATTTTCATTCACTGGTCCCTGACCGGTTGATGACCTGCTATTCCAAGTTATTTTCTTATCTTTGCAAGATATTATCTTTGTGAAAGGTGAGATTTATGGTATAATGGTTTGCAAAGATAAGAAAATAACTTTGTGATAAGTTTATCTTGGGTATCCGTATTAATGTAGAATCTCATTGTTCAGCTTTATTTATCGTAAAATGATAAAAAAAAATCAAGATTTAATGTTCAAATTTTACATATTCAGACCATCCTAGTACCTCCTGATCCGGTCGGTACCAGTTCAAGACTTTTTGGTCAATTTTGTGATCCCGGGTAATTAATTAACCCAATCTGCAAGTAGATCTATGCCTACTTGTGACGAGTAGAAGACATATAAAAAAGTCCATGAAAATCTTTGGTGAAGAGAATAGACAATTGCAGAAAATTAATGTATTGAGAATGAGTTAAAAGTTCATGATAATCCATGATTTTAGAAGTCAATAAGAATGAATAGAAGTTTGAATACGCTAGGACTTGTAAAGACTCTTAAAAGTCTACATTAAATACACCTAAACGTACTTTTGATGTTTTTTAAAAATTCACATTGAATACACATCTAAACTTTTAAAGTTCATGAACTTTTAAAATTTTGTCACTAATTTCTAATACTAATAGTCTAATACACCCTAAGTGTTTTTTTTTTGAAGTAAAATACACCCTTAGTGTTAAATCGTACTTCCTCCGTTGTTAAATAAATGCAACGGTCAACATTTCACACTTGCCGAGACACAACTTTGACCATTAATATAAATGATTTTGTATTAGTAAAAAAATTAAAAAAATTAGATTATGAAAATTTACAATGAGACAAGTTTAATACTCCCTCCGTCCCAATATAAAAGACACATTTGCGTTTGGGGAGTTTTTAAGGGTGAACACTGTTTGAACACTGTTTGGACACTGTTTGGCACTGTTTAGCACTGTTTTGTTTGCCAAAAAGGGAAATGTGCCTTTTATATTGGGACGGACCGAAAAGGAAAGTGTGCCTTTTATATTGGGACAGAGGGAGTAATATTTTTTTCATAAACTGTCAAATAGGTCCTCGAACTTTCATAAAAAAGTCAATTAAGTCCTTTTATAGGAGACTCTGTCTGGTCGTCGCGATTTGGGGCGGTTCCCGATGGAATTTTTTGATGAAAGTTTTTGAGCATCTTATTCATCAAGTCTAGTTTACTCATACCAAATTTAAGCTAAAAATTCAATCGGGAGCGCATTCAAATTAATTCGAGAACGCAAAAATGTGCAGTTATCTTCAAGAATTAATTTGAATTTGTTCCCGATTGAATTTTTAGCTGAAATTTGGTATGAGTAAACTAGACTTGGTGAATAAGATGCTCAAAAAATTCCACCGGGAACTGCCCCAAATCGCGACGGCCGGACAGAACCTCCTATAGAAGGAGTTAATTGACCTTTTTATGAAAGTTCGAGGACCTATTTGACTGTTTTCCCTAAAATAATATTATTACATTAATAAATAAAACATAATCAAAGTAAAACATGTGAATAGTGTAAAAGTCAAATTGTTGCATTTATTTAGGAAGATGGTAGTATTTATTATTATTACTATCGCACATATGAATTAGTTATTAAAAGAGTTCGTTAAAGGTTGAATGGTGTCATTTTGTAGGTGGTAAAATAATATTTATTGCATCCAGCCATAACATTTTTAGTACACAGTACACACATAGAGATTGCAAAACAATGAACCTTCAAGGACCAATTGTGCAATTTTATACCAATTTGGAAAATTTTGAAAGTAAACCTTATCCCTATGAGATTTTACGAATGTCATACTGGAAAAGAGGTGTGCCGTGAAAGAATGGTGAATAGAGTTTTTTCTAGAAAATACTGAAAGCTTCTTGCATTTCTAGTTTCTACCCCTGCTCTATAATGCGTGATGCAAACCAGACAGGACAGAGAGAGAGAAATGGCAGCATACGGGTGGAAGAGCTTCTACGAGGACGAAGATCGCCCCGAGAAGCCGAGGAATTATGGCGTCACTGAAGTGCGGTCCCCACATTACTCCCTTTTCTCTCGCCCCCTTCTCCAGGTTCGTTCCCTTCAACCCACATCATCTGCTCTTTCTTCGTAGCAATTCAACATCATCAGTCGTATTTTCAGAAAGGATCCTTACGTCTACTCCGCGTCTCCTCCTGTCGTTCAATTTCATAGGGAAACTACTAGGACGAAACATTTCGTTAATAAAAAACTAACCAAAGAAGAAAAAGCTCTTAAAAAATAACAAAGTCCATTTTCAAAGGAGAGCAAAAGAAGTTACTTAAAAGACTCTGCAATGAATATGATTAGGATGTTAATGTAATTGCGTTTAAAAGTGGAGCACCATCGATTGATTTTCTTAAGAAGATAAAACAGCATGAGGAAACAATTAGTAACCCTACAAAATCCTTGCTACGGTCAGTTCTGGTAATGAGAAATCCATATCATCATCATCATCAATTAATCAGCTAAAGTTGCGGATGTGAAGAAGCTATTTTGGCTTCTAGTAGCCAGACCACTGTGGAGGAAGAAAAGCAAGAGATAGAAGAAAAGATGAATGTAAACACCAATCTGGTGCCGGAAGAGCAGCCAAACGCCCCAAGAGCAATGGATTTCTATGGTTATCTAAAGTGACTCTGTCGATGATAAAGAAATTGCTGTACTAGAGGACATATAGTCTGGTTTGTGCAAGAATACAACTTTCTTTGAGTTTATTTGAGCTTTCAGAGAATCATAAAGTGATTATGGCACTTGTGTCTATACATTCGAAAATTGATGTTGGTTTGAAACTTGAAATGGGTAAGAAGCATACATACTTCGAAACAATCCACACCCACTGGAATAAAATAATAAAATAATCCACACCCACTAGCATAATTCATAAAGCTGAAAGCATTTAAAGAAGTTCCAATAATCCAATCAAAGTCTTAAGTGTCTAATTGTACTTATCCAGATGACCCGACTTTATTACTCGATTTTATGCCCTAAATCTTCAATTGCTTATTATTGTTTGGTTCATCATATGCATTTCCCTTATATTTTTCTTAAAACGCGTCCCCTAGTCAAGAAAATTGCTAAGTCTGCAGAGTAATTCCATTTTGTAGGATATGTTTGAGACTATGGGGGAGTTTGTTGATGGGCTGAAGTTTAGTGGTGGATCTCATAGTATGATGCCAAAGACATACATCAGAGAAATAAGTGACCTGGCACATAAGCACAATGTATATGTCAGCAGCGGGGATTATATAGAGAAATTTCTTCGTAAAGGTCCTTCATATTTTAAAGAATATCTCGAGGTACACTTGAAAAAAGTCTTTTTTCTCTTTATCAAATTTACAACTTATAATATTAACTCCCCTGATTTATTCATAATGGTGTTCTACTCTAGGAATGCACACAATTGGGTTTTGATACCATTGAACTTGACATTACATCCTTAGATCTTCCTGAGGAGGCCATTCTGAGATATGTGCGGTTGATTAAAAGCGGTGGGCTTCGAGTAAAGCCGCAGTTATCATTCAAGTTCAACAAGTCTGACATACCCTTGAGTGACAATAGAGCATTCGGTGCCTATGTTGTTCCAAAACCGCGAAGTTCAGGTGAGCTGAAACAGAATGTTGGTTTGATCAGTGGACTAGGTTCTCTCGATCATTTGAGATTTATAATATTCTGCTCTCAAGATTTTCAGTAGAAGATAACCGGAAGAGGTTGCTGGAGTACATACTTATAAAAGTTGAGTGAGTTACTAATGACGAGTAACGGTGAGTTTGGTTCAGTGAAGGTGAGGTGAGGGATTTAATCTTTAACGAAGGTGTGGGGAAGGATAGGAGGAATTGTATACATTGTATGGATAGTGCATGAGAGGGAAGAAGAAAATATTGATAAATAGACTATCATTCTGTTATTTTATCATTTAATTAATAATAGAGAACGGATTTAATCAACCAATAATTACAAATATTACCAATATTCATTCACAAACTTATTTGGTATATATTAGATATATGATATACTTTTAGAAGTGTCTATTACATAATTATATATAAATTATTACTTCTAATCACAAATCATTAAATATAGTTATATGAATATGAGTGTGTTCATGTTCATTTCATTGCATCTAACCATCTAGCATTATATCATGCAGAATATGTTGAAGATGTGGACCTCTTGGTTAGGAGGGCAGAAAGATGCTTAGAAGCTGGGGCAGACATGATAATGATAGATGCAGATGAACTATGCAGGCGCCCTGATTCTGTCCGGGCGGACGTGATTGCAAAAATCATCAGTCGTCTAGGATTAGCTAAAACTATGTTTGAAGCATCAAGTCCTCAAATCTCAGAATGGTTTGTCAAACAATATGGTCCCAAGGTAGAGTTTTAATTAAACTACTCAATATGAATCCTGTGAAAATTTCTTGAATCAGTTTGATAATGCCTATAATGGCTGAAGAGGTAGCTGCTAAAATTTTGGTTAAAATGATTGATTTATATAAACTTAGAATATTTAAAATATTCTTGAAATAAATTTAAAAAAGAATATAATATAACGAGAGTTGGAATTACATGACTCACTCACTCACCTCGACTCTAATGTATTCATTATAAGCCGATTTATGGAACAAAGTCACCTCATCACGTGACTCACTCACTCACCTCGACTCTAATGTTTTCATTATAAGCCGATTTAGCTAATGTGGTGAAATCAATTAGAGTTTTGGTAGGAAATCTGACTGATGACTGATGAGAAGAAAATGCTCGAACCAGACACTTTATGTCATTCTGAACTCTTCAACGGGTGTGGTTTTTAGGTGAACCTTATTGTGGACCATTCTCAAGTGATGGATCTGGAATGCCTTAGGGGGCGAAACCTTGGTAAAAATCACTCCTCCATTCTGGGTTCTTCATACTTCCTATTCTGATCTAGCGTTCGCATGGAGGATGCATCTTAATGCTATCTATCTTTGATCTCTTGAATGTGACAATAATGATGTGATGCTCTGTACGTCCTAGCCTGGTCCTCAGATGTTCTATGTACAAGTATAACATGGTGTTTCATCATGTTGGCTTTCTCCGATCTTGTATAAACTCTTGTTTTTTTATCAGATCATTACGCACTGCTTTATGTTATGTCAAATTTCAAGTGTTGAGTATGACCTTCTCCGTCTTCTTGTATTGAGCTTATATATGTGCTGTGCAAGAAATTCTGCTCTACAAACATTCTTTCCACTAGCAAGAAATATTCACAAGACCTGAACATGCATATATGATAAAATTATACAAGCAAAGCCATTATCCGATTATCGGAACATTGATACTTGGAACTTTATGCTCCATTTGTTTTGTGGAAATGTTCTTGAAAAATGTTTTATAAACGTGTTCTTTTGCAATTCTGTGAAATAGAGGAAATCAAATTTTAAAATTGGTTTCACTTTTTTACATTGTGTTAGGTCAACATTATAATGTTACATACAACGCTCTCTTTTTCCGAAAATGTTTTTACATCAATTCTTTTGCACCGTAACTGATTTTCATCAAAAGGAAGATGAAAATTTAATCCTCAGACTGCCTAGTTCTATATATCTACTCAATTTATCTGCCAGAAAAAGAAGGAAAAGATGAAAAGAACGAAAAGGTTAAGCTATTTAAAAGTTCAAATACTCCTTGGACCCAATAATTGCATATGGTTAAAATTAGTCAGGTCGGAACCAGGTGGTAAAATGATAAATGATCCAAACTGGGATAATTTGAAAGTAACTGGACTGGAACTGATACTTGGGACTGGTTCAAGCTTGGTACTGTCCCAGCTCTTTTGGGTACAAAGACTGGAGCGACATGCACCGTTTCTGACATTTTTATATTAAAAGAAGCTACAAATTGGTTTAGAAAAGAAATTGGTATGGAACTGAAACTCACCTATTCCGAGACTTACCAGCTTTGAAACACAGGTATACTGGCTGGATTATGAATTAGGTTTTTTTGTAACTGTCAGGATTTGCATGTTTGGAAATCTGAAAAATCATTCTATTAATTAATGGTGTCCCATTCCCTAAATGCTTATGATTTTTCCAATTTAATTTGATGTGTAAATGTTAAATGTGTGGTGAACTGAAGAATCTTTCATATATGGAAAGAAGATGTTTAAGTCTTTACAAATACATTCATTTTTATGCACTCTTGCAAAAAACAAATGGTTTCAACCATGGACTGTTAGTTTTCCCAGTTCCTAGTTAAAAACCAATAGTAAATTGGAGCAATAAGGGGAGAAACAAGAAAAAGAAGATGCCAGCAGCAGTGTGGTTTGCTTTGAAGAGGTCATTTAAGTGTAAATTTTCAAAAGGGGATGCACATGATCCATACCCAAGTGGTAAAAACACATCAAGAAGGACCAAAAGGAAAGTGAAAAACAGGTCTGTATGTTCAAAACCAAACTTGCAAAGCCCCACTAAACCTGTTGGAAAATCTAAACTTGTCAATCCAATTGCTGCTCCCTATGTGGGAATGGTTAATACAGTGGGGACACCTGTAAATGGGGGAAGCCAACACAGTGGGCCCCCAAGAAGGAAAGGGCTATATAATGGACCTCTGAGAAGGGGATTGTCCAGATCATCGGGTTTTACTTGGGCTGGAAGAGATTCAAGTAGCTCTCAACCTTTGAGTTGTCCCAAATGTGGTGAGAAGTTTTCAGAATGGAAAGATGTTGAATCGCATCACCTCTCCAACCATGCTGGTAAGTGTTTAAGAGTAATGTACGAAGTACATTTTATTTTAATTACTTTACTTTTTAGAGATTATTTGAGGGCTCATAGCTTATTTCAAGCCATTATGTATGTTCGTAATTGAAAAAATCGATTAGAATAGGGTCTCAATTGAAAAACAATCTCCCAGTCCGTAGCATCTTGCCTAGTCGAGTATAGAAAGTAAACTACAAGCTTTCTATATTACCTTTTCACTAGTGAGTAGTGACCCTCTTCTTTCACAAATGAACTTCATCTGTCTATTTTGTCACAAGCCATTTCATATCTTATAGTCTTATACACACATAAGATAATCAATAGCTAGTTTTACCAAATAATTATTATGACCACAACCACACTCAAGGGTGTGTTTGGGAAAGTGACATTTCAAGTGTTTTCAATGCTTTCACTTGCTTTTTAAAAACATACTAGTAACATGTTCGGGTCCTTCGGGACATTAAAAGAGAAAAAGAAGTTCTAGTATAATTTGAACGGTTTTTGAAAGGTACGACCATTCAAATGTTTTATTACTTTAAACAACTTATTTCATCTATTTTAACATTCATTTACGTGGTAAGACCTGAATTACTAAGGTCTGAGGGCGACTTATATGTCAAAAATATCAAATTACTAGGGACGGATTGAAGAGAGTATATTTTTAGTGTAGATGTACATTATGCATTTGTTCATTTGTTACATTTCATCATGTTTCACAAACAATACCTAAAATCCGAATTTCTATATTATACATGTTACAGTCACACAAATAGTTGAAGGAGACTTGTCAAGAGAAATAATAGAAATGATCTGCAGAACCAACCTGCAGTCATCAATGCACTCCGGCAACAAAGAGGATAGCAATGGTATTCAAATGGTCTTGAAAGTGCACAACACCCTAAAGACACTAACTCAATTTGAAGAGTATCGCGAAGCAGTTAAGACGAAAGCCAACAGACTAGTCAAAAAACACGCACGTTGCCTTGCCGATGGGAACGAGCTATTGAGATTCCATGGCACAACCGTGGAATGCCATTTAGGCATGGGAGATTCCTCAGGTTTATGTGTGTCACATACATGTGATGTTTGCCAAATTCTGAGACACGGGTTCACGATCAACAGTGGGGTCGGGGTGTTGACGGTGTCCACGAGCCGAGGGGCACTTGAGGGCGTAAAGGTAAAGGATGGCGGTGGTGAGAGGAAGGTAGTGATGGTGTGTAGAGTGATTGGTGGAAGGGTGCATAGAGCACTTGACAGTGTTGAAGAGATTGGGTGTGAACCATCATTAGGGTTTGATTCTCTAGCTGGTAATAAAGTGGGTGGTTTGAGCTCAGGTGTTGTAGAAGAGCTCATTGTACTCAGCCCCAAAGCTTTGCTTCCTTGCTTCATTGTCATTTATAAAGCATAAACATAATTTTGTAATGCACAAGGTAATGAAGATAGGCGGAACCTAACCCTTGAATGGTATGGTAGGGCACGGGAAAAACATGTAGACCAAGGAGAAGCAAGTGAAGAACATACAAAAACAAAAGAGTAGACCTCATATGCAGTGGCGGACCCAGAGATTTGTGAGAGCGGGAGCACACTAGACACTAAAGTTAGTCTATAACTCTATAATAAAAACTCCAAATGCAATAAAAATGGTAAAAAATGTATTAAATTATGCAGAATAGTTAATTACATATTAAAAAGTTCACTGCTGCAACTTTGGTAAATCGAGCATACGAGTTTTCATATTCTGAAAATGTTGCATAATAGTTTCATTGTCCTAAAAACATCTCTCTCGATGTAGCACACCAAGCAATCCGTAAGATAGTCGTCTCCCATCATATTGGGAAGATCTGTCTTGCTAATATTCATCGCTGAGAAGGCTCTTTCAACGGTTGCCGTTGCAACTGGTAACACTAAAGTCAACTCAATCAGACGATATACCAAGTGAAAAGAATTGTGAACTTTAAGCTCAATCATCTTCTTACAAACTTCACCAATAGTTTTTGTACAGTAGAAAATAACTCATTTGTTCTCATTTCATATATCCACACATGGAGTTGCTCTTTCAGCTCCATTCGTTCAATAAATGAAAAATCGCATGAATATAACTCCGCAAGGTTCAGTAGCTTTGACTCACATAAATCGGAGAACTTCGGCTTTTATCATTCTAGTCTTCCAAATGTTAGTAGGTTTTTAGACTTTTAATACTCCGTACTTTTAGTTGCCCGCACATCGGCTATTTTTTTGCATTTTAATTTTTTTGTTACTTTTTCTTTTCAATTCTTAATTATTTTTTATTTTTTGATAATTCTATATTTTTTATTTTAATTCAGCTAAATTTAAATATTTTGTATTAATTTTTATTTATATAACCGTAACGTTTTAGTATCTTAATAATCAAATACCGGTATAAAGTCAGGGCACCCGTTTTTATCCTAAGTACTACTACTTAAATTCCGGGTTCAAAGCGGGGGCACGTGCCCCACCTAGCCCCCTCAGGTCCTCCACTGCTCATATGTTGCATAATGTAAATAAATAAATAAAATAGACCAATTGACACAAGTAGGGAGAGCTGAGGTATGAATTAAAATTGTCATTCTCAAATTTTGCTACTATTTTCTTACTTATTAACTACTGTAATTAAATATAACGATAACGATAAGCTATTAATTTAGGGCACTTGAAATAAACAGAACTACTAATTTCAAATATTACTATTCTATTCAATTAATGAGATTATCATCACCCGTATTAAACATTATGAATTATGTTCAATTAAAGATTTTCGAAACACATTCGTAATCTATAGATAATACTACGTACATTTCAAAGATACAATTATGGAAAGTTTTGCCATGTGTCATCTTCTAAGCAAACAATCATTATAATATTTTTTATTCTCTTTCTATTTTAGAATATTAGTTACTCCGTATTAATTATACGTAAATAGAACTTAGAAGTTTAGTTAGATTAAAACTCAATCATACTGTACACGTTAGTTTAATTTAGGACTAAGTCTGAAGTTAAGTTAGACTAAAATTTATCAATTCATGTTACGTACATTAGTTTAGGAATAATTCATCAATCAATGAATTATATGTCATCTTTTTATGAATTCATGTTCCTATTTGTTTTTTTGTAGAAAAAATTAACTTCATAAAGTTAGAATAATGGAACTATATTACGTAACGTAATTCAAAAAATAAAATAAAAATACAATTATGAATTATGAGAATTTTGTTATATTCGATTATAATTCATCAACGTTCTATACATTATTCATGTAAAATTTTCTCGATATCTATGTATCATATCAAATATTTATCATACCAGACCAAATCAGATCATATTATATATAATCAAACTTGAAAATTCCAGTTCTGTTAAAAACATCTTTAAAGGAGTCCTTTCTAAAATTTAGAACTTCATATTAGATTAGAATTTATCTATCGAAACATTCTACTCATTCTAATGTCATGATATAATACTAATAAGAGTAATAAATATGTTTTTAATTGGATTGAATTTTTTTAGGTTAAACATATTTCAATGCTTTTTAGGTTAAACATATCTATGTATCGTAACAAATATTTATCGTACCAGACCAGATCAAATCATATCAAATAAAATCAGACTAGAAATTTCCAGTTTAGTTAAAAACATCTTTAAAGGAGTCCTCCCTAAATTTAGAACTTCATATTAGATTAGAATTTATCTCCCGAAACATACTACTCATTCTAGAGTTATTTAAAACTGTTATTTTTTATCATTTATAAAGTGAGAAATAATATTTTGAGCATTCTTTGTAATACACCACTTATGAGATATTATGAGTAATAAAAAGTACTACGTAGTACGATAGTATAAATTAACTTAAGGTATATGTACTCCAAATGTAAAACAAGTACTACATTTTTAAAATCTTATTTTTAATATTTCTTTCAATTTCAAAATATAATACTACATCTGTCCCATTTTATGTGTCTCACTTTGACTTGACACGATTATTAATGAAGTGGTTGAAAACGTAAAAATTGTAGTTGGGGTTTGAGAATAATAAAGTGAAATGGTGTAAGCTACATATTTCTTTCCAAAAGAAGAAATGAGACACTTTGGGACAACCCATAAATGAAAGTAGAACAGATAAAATGGGATGTAAGGAGTACTAATTTTATCTACAAAGTCAATATGGTGTAAACAGAATTAAGTAAGAACACGATATTAAAAAAAATGATAAAGATAACTTTTTCTGAAAGCGCAAAGAAAACTTTAAAAAAGACTTTTAAACCTTTTAAAACCTTTAGAGATCAAACAAATATTCTAGGGTGCTAGAATGTGGTGAGGAGCACTTTTAGGAAAAAACTAAAAAGGGTGAATTTATCTTACATGGTTAGGTTTAGTGATTCTATAGCGTGCATAAAGCAATTTCTTATTTGGATACATAAGGCCCGTTCGATAACACTAAAATTGGTTGAATCGGATAAATTTGCTGAAATTATGAAATTATGTTTGAAGTGACTGCATAGGCTGAATTTTTGAAAAATTATATTATATTTCAAATACAATTCGTTAATTAATTTAAGAAAAAATACATTAAACAACTAGCTAAAATGGTGTTCTATAGTAACGGGCATAAAACAATTGTCCGATAAGCTGAAAACAAGGGTTGTCAAATGGGCTCATAGATTAGGGCTATGTTTGGTATTTAAAGCAGTAGATGGAAGCTAATGTCTGAATTAATGTCTATTATTTGAACTCGGTCTATTGTGTGGAGTTGAATTTTGAAATGTTGCATCTAAACTGTTTGTTGAATGAGACAACATTGTTTGGCAAAAATAGCTGAAAATGCCCAGATAAAATTAAATCAAGTAAGATCAAATTAAATGACATCATACCAGAAAATTTCAGTTAAAAACACGAGTCCTCTAAGATCTTTAGAACTCTATATGAGATTAGAATAAATCTGTCTAAACATTATACACATTCTAATGTTCTAATATAATACCAGTACTAACAAGAGTAATAAAGATATTTATAATTAGACTATTGTTTTAGTTTAAACATATACGAATGCTTTTAAGAGTTATTTAAAAGTATTATTTTTTTATCGTTTGATAAGTGAAAATTAATATTTTGAGAATTCTTTGTAATACATATATGGTGTGATATTATGAGTAATAAAATGCTATTATAAGTTATTTTAAAGTACATATAATCCAAATGTAAAACGAGTATTGCAATTTTAAAAACTTAATTTTGATATTTTTTTTTCAATTTCAAAGTACATATTTCTAAATGCAAAACAAGTATTGCAATTTTAAAATCTTATTTTTTATTTTTGTTTTCAATTTCAAAATATATTAATATTAATATTAATAATTTGATTGTAAAAGTCAAAACGGTATAAACAGAATTAAGTAAAAATACATATTTAACAAAAAGAACTTTAAAAAAAACAGAATTTTAATGAACTAAGAAATTAAAAAAAATTGTACACCTTCCCATATGTACGTTAGAGTATTAAAAAAATGTTTAAGGTTGTTAGAATGTGATGAGAAGCACTTTTAATAAAGGAAAATTAAAATGGATAAAATTATATTACATGGGTTATGTTTAGTAATTTTAGGGGACACATAAAGCAATTATTTATTTGATACATAGGACCTGTTTGGTAACACTGAACTTAAAAGTGCTAAATTGGAACAATTTGTTGAAATTATGAAATTCTAGCCGAAATGACTTCATTGGCTGAATCAATGAATATTATGTTTAAAATTTACTTTGGTAATAAATTTAAGAAAAATATATATGAGAAATGGCTAAAATTGTACTCTATAGTAAATTCACTCATAAAATTACCCCACTTGAATTACTTTAATAATTTCACAATTTAGCGCACAAAGTCAAATCTAGGTTTTTTTGGTAAAAACAAAATGGCTGACAATCTCAAAACAAGTTGCCAAACGGGTTCATAGTCTCATAGATTCGGTCTATGTTTGGCATTTTGAACTATATGTGGAGGCTATTGTCTGAATATAATTAAGGTTTATTGTTTGAACAAAAAACTATTGTCTCGACAAGAATTTTGAAATGCATCAAAACTATTAGTTGAACAAGGTAAATCTGTTTGATAAAAAGAGCTCACAAACGTTTAGATAATATGACATGACCAGATTAGATTATACCAAATCAAATCATATTCGATCATAATAGACAACTGAGACAAAAAAAATAGTCACTTAAAAAATTTTTAATGGAGTCCTCCCTAAACTTTAGAACCGTACATATATTACATTAGAATCCAACAAATCTCTTGGAGTTATTAGCTTATTATTGAGTTAATCACAATACAAGCAGAAGTGAGATAGACATAGAAAATTAAAATATCTTATTATGGAGATAATCGTTAATATTGTAAGAATATTTAAATTTGTATTTAATCACCAAAATTGTGATGATGACACATGATTTGGTGCTAAAATATAAAAAGGGAGTACAAAAACTATACAAATAACCTCAAAAGTTAATACTTTAATTATGATCTAAATGAGAAAACAAATCTTTAAAACATTTCAAAATCATGAATATGGATTAATTATGCAATGAGGTCATTTAGCTCTATATGTCAACGTTTCAAAATAAAGGTAAGATATGTTTAATAGCTCCAAGCCACAAAATTTCCAATGAAATTATTGAGTTAGAATAGAACTGCCTAGCCTGTGGTACTCATTTTCCCATTTTTAAAGTGCATATATACAACTTAAATAATATCAATATACTTGAAAACTCAAATTTCGTTAAATTACGTTATGGATCATACTATAAGTCCAACAACACTTATTTTACTTAATGAGATCATATTATCCCCAATAACTCAATCTAATGAAAAATAAATCGGTTGATACCAATCACAATATGTAGCGTGATGTCGCTGTCATCACCTTCATTAAAATAGAAATGTCACAAACTATTTATTCTATGTTGTTTTTAAAGAAAGTGATCGAATGACTAATTTGTGAAAATCTTAAAACCTTGAAGGCCTATTATCTTCAAAAACAATGACTACACCCATTTTTAAATAAATGAATTGCAAAAAATGTGTAGTTAATTTTGAAAAAAAAATCA